CACACACACACACACACCTGGGATTAGCCTTCCAGCACATTGCCATTCTGTCTCCTGGCATCTGCAATACACTTCAAATCGATTTGGTGTTTTGAAGTTTCATTACGAAAATAAAACTATGAAGAAATATCATATTAGTCTATGATACAACGCTGATTTCAAAACTAAACCCTCTCCCCTCCCTATGCAAGATTTTTTCAGCCATGCTATCGACATTAGTACCATAATCAGGTCAAACATTCAATTTGTCCAAAACTAATGACCAAATACCTGCTGAACTAATAGCATTCCCATCAGCCTCAGCTGTACTTTGTGTCTGGTGCTAATAAGCGAAATGTTGCTTATTTCCGCATGCTACCAGGCTAACCAGGTCAATACTACACTCTAAACATCAGCATCAAACATTGTTACAGTGAGCATGTCAGCATGCTGATGTTAGCATTTAGCTCAAAGCACCACTGTGCCTAAGCACAGCCTCACGGGGCCTCTAGCATGGCTGTAGACTCTAGTAGTTGTCATGTTTTAAAATGAGAAACACTTCAGAAGACAGAAGAATTTGGCGATTCAACATACTTTAAATGTATTTCTTACATTTAAAATATATGGCAATACATTTCAAATATGTTTTATAGTAACACTAGATCAAATGGCTACATGTAATGCGAAAGGGGTCAATTATTACCTGACTCCCTCATCTCTATGGAGCTTTTTAGTATCTCTGATAAACCCACAGTATGTTACCTTCCAGACAGAGAAAGTTAGAAACTAACTGGTCAACATAGTGGGGCATCAAGCAGTTAAAGTGTCAAGTATTTCCCTCAGGAGTTGGTGGAGAACAAAGACAGAGCGAAAAGAAAGTGGATATTGAGCTTTTGCTACAACAACTCCAAGTTGTGTGCCTATGTTGCTGCGTATCTACTAGTACTGTGCTAATAAGTTTGCCATAACTACTTTAGGGAGTGATAATATGTCAGTGTTGTGTTTACAGCTTGTTGTCCTGGCTCCAAGTAGCCAAAAAATCAGTAAATGCAGGTTTAAGTGAAAATCACTAAGACATTAAAACAAAATAACTATCAAAAATAAAGTAAAGAAAGATTTTCTGTGACAGTTAGCTAAACTTTTTTTTAAAGGGTCCCTTATAGCTCACTGTCTTCTTACTTGACACACATTGTTTTGCCACTGGATTAGACAATTCTGTTCAATTTTCTTGTTGCAATAAAGAAGTTGAGAGATGCTTTTCGTTCCTTTTAAATTTATTTTCGTCTTCCACTTGTGTGGCTAACTAACTGTAAATTCACTGGTAGAAAGTCGTTAACCTACATTAAGGCTATAAACAACCCATGATACAAAACTGAAAGACACAACACCAGCATCTGCATCATTTTAAGAGACTAACAATTATATTTAGTCCAGTCTTTATCTTACGGCCTTCTGGCAAAGACAGTCACCTAGGAGGAGACACTATTCTCCTTTCTCTCCCATTGTTTCATCACTTACAATCTGGTGCAATCAAGCTTCCTCTGCTTCAGGCTGCCCTTATAGCCATTTTCCAAGAGGTACAGTATATATCTTGGCACAGAGTTGAAGACATTTTGACCAGTGGGACACAGCCATTCTTAAAAAAACATTGTAAAGTGGAGAAGATTTAATATCGGTAATACTGGAAGGGACTGAATTGTTTTAGTGCATCTTTCTCTGCCCACACCTTAGGTACAGTTTATCTTTTGAAAACATCACACTGGATCAAAATAGAAGTAATAGTACCCCACACACTGAGTGGATTTCCACATGGCAGAACTTTGCTGAAGTTATGATAAAAAGAAGGCGTTCGCACTTGATGTTTAAAATGAAAATGTCTGTGTCTGTGGTGGGGGGGTGGAGGTATTCCATACATCTTAGCACCTGCTCATTCATTTCATCCATGAGAAGAAGGGAGCATACTGAAGAACACGCTGTGGGAAGAGGAGGTTGATTTTGGACTGAGGCCAAAAAGAAGAGGACAGGGTGGAGGAGAAACCCATAAATACGCAGGGAGGCGAGCAGGTGTCGCAGACAAATGTGATTTACAGGGTCTATGTCCCATACAGTGCTGACAGGTAAGCCTATTAGGTTGATATTACCCAGCTATAACGCGCACCGATGGACCCTCTTAAAAACGTGTGTGCAGCGAGTGTGTAAAGGTTATGGGTTTAAGAGAAAGATTACAATATCACATTGTTAAGCTGGCCATACATTACGTTCTAAAAAAATCAATTATTATATTAAGGCAGATTTTTAATTGGTTTGATTCATTCTGTTACATCTTTTTTCAAGGTGACGTCATTTAGCAAACCATTCGAGATAGCTATGCTTAGCATCCTTAAGGTTGGAAAATAACAACATGGTTTTATTACAGCAGAGTTACACTGGAAGAGCAAAACTGGGTAAATGTTTTTCCTCATATTCTGAAATGACATCAGGCTTCAAAGCCAAAGAGTGAGAGAGAGAGAGAGCTAAATACTGAGATGGCAGTGCATTTCTGCATATTGGAAACTGCCGGGGAGCAATCACTGAAGAATGCAAACGTTTATGAGAAACTAAATGCACTAGAACATCGAGCGGAGATCTGCAATCGAGTTTCACTTGTAATACCGCAAGAGAGACACGAGACTACAAGAAAATTGCTACCACTTGAGCAGCACACTACAGATGGTGTTGAGAGCAACACAGCACAAAGCAATGTGTTCCTTAATAATGTGGTGAATATTGCAGTGAAAAGCTGAGTGCTCCGTACTTGCTTTTGCAGACTCCAGCTATTTTTTTTTTTCCCTGTCAGAAGTGTGAACTCTTTCATCCCGGATATAAGAGGCTGCGGTAAAATCCTCAAAGAAACTAATCGTGTTAAATGAGGTTTGTGTCTGTATCTACGACTTCTGAGTGTGTGTGTGTGTGTG